GGCGGGTGGGGAGAAGGTGAGGGGCATGTGAGAGGGAGCTCCGAATGCGTTCGGGCGAAGGAATTGACCAGGATCGAGAAGGGTAGCGGCTGGAGGGGGAATTGTAGGGGGGTCACGTCAGAACTGATTACGAAGGGAGGAGGCGGGAAGTCCTAGGAAAAGTAGCATTGAAGAGAATGGGGTGGGGGAGAGGTCATGGAGTGGGGATGATGGAAGCCTCGAGCAGGGAGAAGGAGGGAGTATTAGTAGGGGGACGGAGGCTTCTCACTTTACGAAAGTTTGATTCTTGGTCGAGGGAGAAAGTGGCCTCTTCCGTAGGAACAGCGCAGCCGTTGGGATTCCTTGAGCATCCAATTATCCGCTACGGCAGGCCTCCCGTGACGATGGCTATCGTCGCTCTTGATCGCGCCGTATGTGGACAAGCTATCTCCTCCTTAGTGTTGGCATATGGCGCTTTCGTCGATGGCCTGCACAGAAACCATGCCGGAGTTCATACTTAAATCCAAAGCTTCGGATAAGACATGCCCCCGACACGTTGGTTGTTGTAGCTCTCGTGTTCAAACGATGTAACCGATAGTGTTGCTCTTCGTTCACTTCGAACCACATGGCCGCGCCCGAAGGGGGCGGTGGAAGAGTCGCTCCTTCTCGACGACGGTGTGTGGTGCTTGCGGCGATGGCGCACGCGAAAGAGGCGCGAAAGGTTCGCGCTTGTCACTCTTCGAAAAAGAGCGCGGGCGGGAGCGCTTACCGGACGGCTCTCACGCGAAACTCCCACCCACCCCAAATTCCTGCATTCATTGCTTCAGAGGACTTCTGGACAAAAGAAATCCAGAAAAAAAGACGGTCTTGGCTCCATCGGGGGGCACCGGGGGTCCAAGGACCCCGTCTGCTATTTACAAAAGACTGGGGGGCCGCCAGTCCCCTGTCTGCTATTGACAAAAAAAATTGGGGGGCCAAATAGGCTTCAGTCCCCGAGGTATTGGACTTCTACGGTTCTACCATTGAGACGCTATGGGAAAGGAAGAG